ACCACACATTTTTGGTGAACTTTTTGTGACTCTCCTTCTGAATACCCAAATCGTCTCAAGTCACAAAAATAGTCACTAATTGCTAATCTCAAATTTACGGCCGGTCTTACAATCCATTTTTTAGGTGAACTTAAGTCTAACTTAAGATTTTGCGTTTCACCAACCACTTTTTGAGCAAATCTTAAGTTCAACTTAAGTTAAACTTAAGTCGCGGCCGTCGGCGACTAAACGCTGATTCACATATAACTTTCTTCGATTTGCTTGATAGTTCTTTGCTTTGACATATAAGATCGATGTAAGCATATGCATGAGTATGCTTACATAAAAAAGTTTGAAGCAAAGCAAAGCAAAGCGAAGCAAAATCTTGGGCAACTCTCAACTTTTTCCCGCTTTGGCAATCAGCTGTCTACATGTATCTTTTCTCGTGCGCTTGCATTTGCATTTAATGACAAAAATTGGGTAAATAGGAATTTTTACTGCTATTATTAATGCATATTATTATATTGTTATCTATTTTACAGATAAAATATATGGAGGAAAAGGAGAACGCAAAAGCTGTCAAAGCGTTTATTGTAGCATACCTTATGCGTTTCACGCTTTGTTGTCAAAGTTTGAACTGTCAAGCAAAGCGAGGAAAGTTGTATGTGAATGGCCCTTAAAAGTAAACTAACTGCCATACCTAAACAAAACCGTCAGCGTTGTCTGGCTGTCAAAAAATTCTCATGCCCATACAATTTGTATGAAGCATACCGAAACAACGCGGCGTCAACGCTGAGCGGTTGGAAAATCCGATTTTGATAGGGCGTTAGGTATTGAAGTTGGCTGCAGAAAAGGGCGAAACTGTCATTTTCGTGTTACACACAAACAAACCTATGCTTATTGTTGGTGTTATTTCTGCATTTGACGTAGCGTTGACGCTTTTGTTTAGGTATGGCACTTCGGCGATAACGCTAAGCGTCAGAAACCGCTCCGCCCAACGCTTTTGTTTAGGTATGGCAGTAAGTCGGAAAAATAAAATAAAGGCACAAAATGGATTTCGATTTGAGTTGGGAAGATGATAGTGATTCGGAATACGAAGAGATTATAAATATCATTATCTCACGAAGGACCAAAGTAATTCGTGACCGGCCACAATTTTTTCAACTATCACTCCTATTGCGAATGTCGACTGCCAGTAGATAATCGAATATTAAGCGAGTATCGATCATCGATGCTATTGTGAGTGTTGCTTAGTCGCTCAATTAGCGACTGTGAGTACTTTATAATCGCTCATCCTTCTATTGCTGTTTTTTAGTCGTTGGAGTTTGCGTTTATAAACTCCCGTATGCTGTAATCCGAAAGTTCGTAGTTACGAATTCGTAACTCAGTTCCGAAAATTCGAAAATTGGTATGCTGTAATCCGATCGTAGCTATCAACGGCGTTGCCAACTAAAATAGTGAAACTCGAAGTTCTTACTCAGCTGCTTTGACAGAAACAAATCAAAATAAATATACATAATCGCAAGTGAGTAGTGTAATTAAAAAAAAAATTAGTTTAATCATTATTTGAAGACTTTTCCTTAATTAAGTAGAATACAAAGGATTCAGTGGCCGGTGCACTTATGTCCCAGGGGGAACAACAGCTAGCAGTTGCATTAATATACAAAGGAGATTGCTAAGAGATTGTTCTGATCCATTTAGCTTAAATGATAAAATGTAAGCTCCCTCCTTTTAATGGCCTCCATTTATTTATTTATTTATGTATAAGTCATATGAAACAATTAATTTCTTACTGACTACAGAAAGGAATTGCTTAGGAACTAGTTAAAGTAATTAGTTAAAATAATTATGCAGTAGGCTTCGGACAGCTCCAGGCGACGGGGCGGGTCCAAGTTAGGAATATTATTTAATTCAGATAGAGTTCTTGGCATGGGAGCAAATTTAAGATAATCAAATTTAGGAAACTCAGTGTAAAACAGAGGGACGTGTCGGAGATTCCGCGCAGAAGTTTAGTTGCTCCAGTAGCGCAGGGCAGTCAACTGTATAATTTAGCAGGTTATACACCAAGCTGCAAGAGAGAAAGGAAGATCTGGACTGTAAAGTTTTCAGGGATAAAAGTTGGCAACGGGATTCGTAGGAAGGTATAGGATCAGTAAAGTTTAAAGAACGGAGTGCAAACTTAATAAATATTTTTTGGATTCACTCTATACGGTTAATTTGAGTTACGTGATACGGTTTCCAGATGAAGGCTGCGTAATCAATCCTAGATCTTACTAATGAAGTATATATAGCATCTTGAGCGTGTATGGATCCGAGAAAGCTGAACAGTTACGTCTTACAAAAGCAAACATAGCGTACGATTTCGAAACAACATAGTTGACGTGGGTGGTAAATCGAAGTTTGGAATCAAAATATACACCAAGATCTTTGAAGTCTGTAACATAATCGAGGGTTGAGCCAGAAATTTTGTAACTCGTTAGTAACGGGCTATATTTTCTAGTGAATGTCGAATGAAAACACTTTTTTACATTTAGAAAAAGCCGATTCCGGGTGCACCACGAGTAAAGCTTAGAATAAATATTGTGCCGCTTTAATTCTTGGAACGCTTTACCAAAATTCCACCACATCCTCTTTATCTCCTTTTACAAGGCCTCGACCAATGTCCGGCCTTTCGCTCATGCATTCCACCAGTTTTTCGTATTGCGACCGATTTTTTGTGATCTTCGATCTGTTAATTTTGTAAACATTTAAAAATAAATATTTTTTTTTCTATTCACACTTCAACTTGCATACATATTTTTGCGTTTAATAATAATAATAGATTGGCGCTTACACATATGTTAGTGTTTGGCCGAGCTTCTGTTCCAACTTGTGGTGTGCGCCTTGATATTGTCACACAAAGCGGAGGGACCTACAGTTTTACGCCGACTCCGAATGGCGATTGTATTTTTATGAGAAGCTATTTTTCATGGCAGAAATACACTCGGAGGTTTGCCATTGCCTGCCGAGGGACGACCGCTGTTAAGAAAAAACCTTTTTCTAAATTTTTTGCGATGTTGCTTTGACCAGTGCTTGAACCCAGGTGCTGGTGAGTGAAAGCGCGCACTGCTTACCACTAAACCACAGCGGACGACACACTTTATTTTATTGCGTTTACACACTTTCTTTTATTGATATTTTAAAACAATTTGTTTCGCTCCGACACGAGTTCGTACAAAATTTCCGACAAATACATAAAAATTACAGCTACGTCGGATTCAGGCATACCAACATTACGAATTTCGAAGATGGCCTACGAATTTCGAAACTACGAAACAACGCGGATTTCAGCATACCAATTTTACGATTCGTAGCAAAATCGAATCTACGACGGATTACAGCATAGGGGTGAAAATTTATAGAAGAAAGTGATACTATAATGGATAAAAAGTAAGTCAATTGAACTGGAAGTTGTAAAAAATTGCGGAATATACATAAGTATGTATGTGTCTGAATTGCAGGTCAAATGTTGTAAGCAACAAAAGGCAACTTGCGCGGTTGGTCGAGCTGATGCAGGAGAATGAGGACGGCAAAGGAATTTGCGGAAAGAGTAGGGGCGGAAGCTCCGCTTCTATTGTGAAAGATATACAACATTTCTTGTGCATATAACTCCGGCTACGCCATCTGCAGTGTTTTTGCGCTGAACTAACATCAAAGTTTACAAAAAACTGCATAATTAATTAATTAACATCTTTCCCATCACTAAACCGTATTTTAACTGTATCCATTTTTTAAATTTTATAATAAAAGCAATTATTTTAATAATGATGTAAATGAAACACTAAAGAAACAAATGTAAAAAAACAAACAGCTGTTTACAATTCAGTCAACCATTCACAATAGTACAAATTTTTATCGATCAAGTTACACAATAGCGAAATAAAAGATTATCGACTCGATCGACAAAGTTTTATTCTACTGCCAGTCCACACTCGCAATAGGGGCCTATATGATGAAAAAGAATTTCGTGATAGGTTTAGAGTAAATAAACAAACAGCATGGTATATTCGCAGTTTAATCAGGCCTGCAATAAAGCATAAAACTGAGAGGTTTGTTTTGCTTGTGTATTTACTACATAACATAATAATGGAAGTCATGTTAAATTATTGGAACCACGCGTTACGTCCTGAAAAGATGTTACACTGGACCACAAATTTCAACTTTTTCTCTTTACCAGAAACGCCGTTATGAAATTCTTATGTAAAATCACCCCCTGATTCCAAAAATCAAGGTTATTTTTAATTCTATGGTACCGTTTTTGAGATATTTGAAATTTACCGTTTTTGCAAAAAAAAAAAATGGGAAGATGATAGTGATTCCGAATACGAAGAGATTATAAATATCATTATCTCATGAAGGACCAAAGTAATTCGTGACCGGCTACAATTTTTTCAACTATATGATGAAAAAGAGTTTCGTGATAGGTTTAGAGTAAATAAACAAACAGCATGGTATATTCTCAGTTTAATCAGGCCTGCAATAAAGCATAAAACTGAGAGGTTTGTTTTGCTTGTGTATTTACTACATAACATAATAATGGAAGTCATGTTGTTAAATTATAGGAACCACGCGTTATGTCCTGAAAAGATGT